CACACACACACACACACACACACACACACACACACACGGAATTTCAACCAGCTGACCACACACCAAGAGAAGGCTTGGCCCTATATCAAAAAACAGGGGGATATGGGGAGAGGTCAATGGGGGAAAAAGGAGACTTATGTAATACTTTAAACAATAAAGAATTTAAATTAAAAAAAAAGACAAGGGGATAAATGTTCTTTCATCCAGTTTAAGTTAAAGTAAAATGTTTGAAATATATATGTATCCTTTTTTATGATTTTCTGCTTTAATGACTTTTTAAAAACTGATGTATTATGACTCTCAGTCTTCATTTCATGGCAAGAAGGCTGCTTAAGCTGAACTGATTAATCAGATATGACTGTGCTTATCAAATACTTCAAGTTTTCTGTAGAGTTTGCTTTCTTTTCTTGCTTTTTTTGTTGTTGTTAATCTTCACCCAAGGATATTTTTCCATTGATTTTTAGAGAGAGTGGAAGGGAGGGGGAGAGACAGAGAGAGAAACATTGATGTGAGAGAAACACATCGACCAGGGCCAGGGATCGAGCCTGCAACCTACGTATGTGCCCTTAACCAGAATCGAATGTGGGACCCTTCAGTCCGCATGCTGACACTCTATCCACTGAGCCAAACTGCCTAGGGCTAGAGTTTGCTTTATTTAACATTTTCCACTTACTCTGAACTGCTCACTGTGAAGCATGTTTGCCAGTGTACTGACTTCAACATTCTAAACATTTCATTTGTAGAAATCTCTCCTCAACTGCCTTCTGTTATTTCTATTATTTCTCAACCCCCATCAGTGCTTGCTTGGTAGTCAATGAGTAAGTTAGTAAGATCTCTAAACCTGAGATGCTGAACCAGGTCTCCAATCCCAGGAGGGTGGGAGGGAGGGCGGTTCGGCTCCGGCTGGTGTGGAGAGTACATAGTCTATTCCTGGCGTGGAGCGGATTTCAGGAAGGAAGAGGACAGAAACAGGGACAACAGATGATACGTCACTCTGCTCGCCTGTGGCAAGGTCCTGTGTGTACATTTAAACATGGGCGTGTGCGATTTTTGGGGGGGGTCCACTTCCACCCAAACAACAATGCCTGGTTCCAGGGGAGCTGGGCAGCGGCCCGCTTTTCCCATGCTGATCGCTATGCCGTGTAAGGATTTATCTGATACAATTTATTCCATCACTAGGGTCAGTAGATGCCTTTGTACACTTATCCAATCACCAGTGTTGATCCAGTGGTTGCTGCCAAAAAGGTCATTTACTGAGCAGTTACTAAGTACCAGGCCCTGGGCTAAGCACTGCATCCCCCTTGGGAGAGGTACTATTGAACCCCAAGTTACAGACAATGAAAAACTCCAAAAGCCCCAAAGGCTGAACAACATGGCTTCGGTCCCACAGTGGGGCAAGAAGCCATGATTTGCACTCAGGAGGTCTGTTCTGAGTCCACTAGGCCAAACCTAATGTCTCTCTACATTTGCAGGACATTGCCCTGCACTGGGTGTCCAGGAAAAACCACCATCTGCCCTCAAAGCACTCACACATCTACCTGCGTAGCTGAAGCACAAAAGATACTTCTGGGGGTTAATGCTATAGTGCTCCTGATTGGGGCACACTCAGAGCCTGCTGAAATAGCAACAAAGGGAAAAAAAAAGAAAAGAATCCACCTGGAAGTCATTCAAGTTTGCGTTTTGTGGTTGCCGAGTCTAGCTGCATGCTTAAAGGATGTTTCCTAATCAAAGAACCCCCAAAGCTCAAAAACCATCCTGGGCTGGCCTTACACTGCCTCCCACCCTCAGATGGGGGTCATCTGTGCAGGAAAGGAAGCTGGCGGAGGTGGCAGGGGTATGGCACCTGGAGACAGGAAAATAATTCTTGGGCAGCAACACCTTTGCAAGGTGAGAGGGTTTGTCTCCCAGGTGCAGCCCCCCAATGGAGGTGCCCCCTCCCTAAGCCAGCTCCAAGTCGCTAGGGAACCACCTAGGGTGGCAACTTAGAAGTCGTCAGCCAGGTGGGTGTTTCAGGGAGGGGTTGGGGGTCTCTGAAGTGGGAAGATGAAGAAGTGGGGGGGAGGAAGGAAGTAGAAGGAACAGAGGCAAATGGGGTTTCCCACCTCTGTCCCACCCGACCTCCTGCAGCTCCAAAGGTGGCTGGGCAGGGTCCTCCTTCCCCTGGGGTGAAGTGGCCAGAGAAGACCAGGCTGTGGGGCCATAAACAGCAAGTGCTGCAGTGAGAAGGCCGAAGGTTCGGGGAAGGAGGAGAGGGAGGGTGTGAAGGTGCACAGAGTGGCACAGGCAGCTTTTCGAGTATCATTTGGATACAGAGTGAGGGACAAACTGGATTGGATTTGTCCCCAAACCATCCAGATGCCATGACCTTGAATAAAACTCACCTCACATTCTGCTTTTCCTTCTCCACCTATTGACCTGCATTTTCCCACTTTATCCATTTGTTTGTTGAATATGGGCCAAAATACCTATTGTATGTCCAGCACTGCATTAAGCCCCTAAAGGTGTTTTAATTTGCCTTTGAGTAATTCTTTTTCAAAGTGGGAGTAAGGAAGATACTAATTAAATAGAAGGCACAGCCTAGTTGGAAAACTATCACAATTTCACTTAGAAAACTGGGAGCCACTCAAATCATAGACAAATTCTGAGGGAAGGTGGAATAAAACACAATTTCTAAAATTTTCAACAAATGAGCTTCATAAACCGATGTTAAAGGCACAGAAGAAAATTTCAGCCTAAACAAAGGGCACCACAATCCTATTACGTCTGCAGGCTGGCACTGACCTCAAAGGGCATGTGGGCCAAAGAGCATGTTCAATAAAGGGGGCCCTTTTCTGAAAGGAATACATCTGATCCTCAAGGAAACGGATTCTGTGTTTTCTGCTTGCAATTTGTGGGACTAATCCATTTCTTTTGTTCCTCTCAGGGGATTGGTGCCTGATACTAGAAGCCACTTAAAAGCCACGCCCTTCCATGATGGGCATATGCAGACCAGGTTAGGGACTCACAGTTATAGACTGTCACTCATGCAAAAACAACAGCAGCAGCAAAGCCAACAATCCCCTCCCCAAATTGTGCAAAGGCTAACCCCAAAGGTCAGGCCAGGTTACTGCAGTAAACTTGTTACAGAAGCAAAGGCCGGTCAAGGAACTGATTAGCTTCAAGAGTCACTCGGACTGGGCGCTGGGGGTGGAGGGGTGTGTGTGGTTAATTTATTTATTCATTCAGAGGAAGGGTTTGGAGATGGGGAATGGATAAAGGTAAGCAGCATCATAAGAATACCCTGGGGAGGGGGTGGGTACAGAGTAGAAGGGGTCAATGGGGGAAAAAAGGGGGTCATTTGTAATACTTTCAACAATAAAGATTTTACAAGTAAAAGAATGCCTTAATTAATGATGGGAGGAAAGGCATTTCTGGTTCTGTTGTAGGATGAGCCATTTGGAGAGACTGGGATCAGATAAAACTCAAAGCCGTCCTGCTGAGCCTAAGCTCAAGGTGGCTGTAAGGGCAGGTCTGGCAGTCGCTGTCCCAGGTGCCAACATCCCTCCCAGCCCGGACCAACCACCCGGGCGTGGAGTTACAGGTTCCTGAGCGCCAGAGGCCAGGTGGGGTCTTCAGAGACGTAAAATAGCCTCTCCTGCTGGGGACGCAGGGCCGGCTGAGCGCGGGCGCAGACGCTACCTCCCTCCAGATCCTCCGGCGCAGAGCCAGGGATGGCCCGACCCCCGCCTCCAGGATTCCTCTCTTAACAGCCCCCAGGCTTTGTGAACCCGAGAGTCCCATCAAACGGGCAACAGATTCCAAAATCGACGAAATCTCGGACGGGTGGACTGTGCTTTGTTCCCGGCATGGGACTAAACACTCTCCGGTAACCGACCGGAAGGGACCTCTGCCTGCGGTCTGCCCCGAGAACCGCTGTCTGTCTGTCTGGTCCCGGAATCTCACGCCCCGCTCGGGGCGGGGTGGGATGCGGGAGAAGGGAGAGATGCTCGGTCCATCCTTGAGTCTCTACCACTCTTAGACCCCGACGCGAGCCGTTCTCCGGATACTCGGTTCCATCTGCGCCACACGCTTGGATGATCTGGCCCCTAAAATGTTCTCCTTCGCAGAACTGAGCTCCCCCCACCCCCCGTTTTCAGCAATAGAATTAACCAGAGAGCCGCGCGGACCGGCTCTTTACAGGAGGGCAAGCCTCGGCCTTGCTCGCCAGGGGTCGTCAGTAGCCATCCTCCTCCCCTCATTCCCGGCTCAAGGGCGGCAGAGAATTCGGGCTCTGAAGTGAAAACCCCGCACGTTTCTAAAACAGTGCTCGTCCACAAATACCTCCGGGACGCCTGTCTGGTGGCTGTGGCCGCAGGAAGCCACTTAGGAAGAGCCACCGGCTCAGGGTTGGGGGCCTCCCTCCAGCGCCCCCCCCCAACACCCCCCAGGCGCGGCTTCGTGCACCCCAAGGTTCTTGATCTGTGTTTAGAAGGGGCAGGGCTATGCCTAAAGGCCGTTCTCAAGACGCTTGTGGTTTCCAAGGCAACCGCCCCTCGGCGCCCCCTCGAAGTCGGCTAGGGGGGGAAATGGGTGTGGCTCGCAGCCCCGAAGGAAACCTCCTGCCCCCTCCTCACATTTGCCCTCCTGGGAAGCAACAGGGCACGAAGTGGAGAGGGGCTCCGCCTGCGAGCCCCCCCCCGCCCCCCTCCCCCGCTCGGGGGTCGCTGGTGCTTCTCTGTGGGCACCTGGTGGGGCGTGGCCACCAGAATGCTCCAGGTATGGGGTGGGGCGTCGTCCCTTCGCGGACACCCTCCCAGCGCGCGGGGACCTAGAATCCACCCCTTCAGTCGGTGGATGCTCCCTGGCGCGCGGCCGGGCTCCGGGAGGGGCCGCTCAGTGTCACGCCCGTTCCACGCGTGACCGCGGGGCCGCGATTCGAGTTCATCGATCCCAGCAAGCCCCGAGACCTAACAAAGGGCTCGGAAATAAGGGGCGAAACACGGGGTGGAGGGAGAGGGTACCTTGGCTCAGCATCCTTATAGAATAAAAGGCAAAAAACGCAGGCTGGCAACACTGCTCACGTTAGCCCCACAAACAAAGCCGCGAGCCCCCACGAAGATCGCGGGTGGCCGTCCCAGTGCTCAACCCCGTAGCAGCAAGACGCCAAGATCTCAGCGCCGATGGCCGCCTCCCTCCTTGATAACAGTCCCGTCTTGTCCTCCGAAGCCCAGCCACCCGGCTTGGCACGGTACCGTAAAGACGTGACACGCGGTAAAAAGATGGCACCTCGCGTTCGGAGGCGAAAAAGAGAGGGGGTGGTAGTGGGAGGAGGCATCGCCTACCCTCCCCCTTCTCGCCCACCCGGGTCCACACCCACTGCCGCAGTGAGGGGCGGGGCCTG